GTATGTGGGGTAAAGCAGCGGAGCTTTTATTATGCCACAGTCGAGCGCTTCTGCTGCTTCCGGTCGTGCGTATGTGGGGTAAAGCAGCAGAGCTTTTATTATGACACAGTCGAGCGCTTCCGCTGCTTCCGGTCGTGCGTATGTGGGGTAAAGCAGCAGAGCTTTTATTATGACACAGTCGAGCGCTTCCGCTGCTTCCGGTCGTGCGTATGTGGGGTAAAGCAGCACTGTTTTATCATACTAGATACATTTGAAAGTTCTGTTATAATGCTACTCTGTGCAGTCGTCACTGGTCTAATAAAATGCACAACATATTAAAGCGTCTTTGGTGTTTCCATGTTTTCTACAAAACAAAACCGGAAATCGAGGGGTTATGACGTCACTGGCAGGCGACACAATGACACTATAGACACGCTCCGTGTCACTAGTTAAAATTGCTTATTTCTCTGGATTTAAACATACTTTGAAACATTTGGGATACTGTAAGTACACAAGTCAGCAAAATATATAAACACTGTTCTAGTGGTTTTTGGATATTTTAATAAAAAAATCTTACATATTGTGCCTTTAATTAAAAAATTTACTAAACAAATATAAGCTATAATGTTTTTATGTAAAATAATTTTGTTTTTCATATATCATTTTCAGACATGCGCAGACGCAGGCTAATTAACGTTATGCATTTAATGAACACTTACAAGTGCGCACATTGGCAGAATTAAATTCAAATAGTCATCAGCAGCCAATAGTTTGGTAAAATTGAGAAAAAACAAAATGTCCAAAATGCCAGCGAAGAAACACATACAAACAAGAATAGTGGCAGCATCAGCAGTGAAGGTAGGAGAGTGCGGGACTTTCGGCATCACCTTTCAGTTTGCCCCGCCACTCACTTGAAGATGTTCAGACAAAAGGAAACACCAAAACTACGCAGCAATCATTATTTGAACAATACCTAAAACTTGGTATTACAAGCACTTCTTGTGTCTGTTTGCCTCTTTAAGAAGAATTGCTTTATCTATTCCCCAACTGTAAGTTGCTTTGGATAAAAGCGTCTGCAAAATGACTAAATGTAAATGTAAGTCACGCTTCCGTGCGCTTCTTACAGACTGCAATTTACAATCATAACTTCATTGTGCTGTTACTCCTTTCGAGCCGAATTTCACAAAATTGGTCAGCTCCCGACAGCATCAGGTGTTTTATTAATGGTGAGTAGAATTATTTATTTATTCATTTCAATGAATGTAATCGAGTAGATATCATAATATTTAGGCTGTAATATTATAAATCTGGTTGGTTTGTATTGGTGACGTAATATGTAAATGATACGCGTGCGGGTGAGACTTGCACTTGGACCATAGTGCGGCCCAGTGGAAAAAAATGGTTGAGAACCACTGCTCTACAGGATGAAACATACGTGAACGTGGCTCAAAATACAGTATCTGTGTCTGTTTGTATAGTCAAACATCAGTCTGTGTGTTTTAGCTCAAATATCTCCCATAATTCAACAGATCTCACATGTCCTGATGTTAGTAAATTCACTTTATCCACTTATTTCTGAAATAAAAACACATCTGCTAACTCAAACATGGCTTATATCTGATAAAAAAATACCTGGGTATTCATACTAGAGGACTTAAAAAGAATGAAGCGGTTATGAGAGAGAATGTAAATTATAGCTTTTTATTTTTGGCCTTTTTGTCACTTTTATTAATAGGGACAGTGATATAATGAATAGAAGAGGGCAAAACTGAATCGTGAAATGCCACAAGCCCGGATTTTACCAGTTAATTTCTATGTTTTTCCCAATCATTTGTGATGAAGATTATGGTTATAAAAACCTAATATATATATATATATATATATATATATATATGACTTTTATAGAGACTGCTCTCCAGGGTTATTATAAGTGACTAATATACAGTGGTGTGAAAAAGTGTTGGCCCCCTTCCTGATCTTTTTTTTTTTTTGCACATTTGTCACACTGTAATGTTTCAGATCATCAAACAAATTTAAATATTACACAAAGATAATGCAAGTAAATACAAAATGCAGTTTTTAAATGAGGATTTCAATTATTAAGGGAAAAAAGCTGTCCAAACCAAAGTGGCCCTACGTGAAAAATGAATTGCCCCCTCCTGTTAAATCATGAAAGAACTGCAATTAACCACATTATTTTAGAAAGCGGAGTTAAATTTCACTAG